CCAATGTGGTGAAACACTGTCTCTACTAAAAATACAAAAAAATTAGCCAGGCATGGTGGTGTGCACCTGTAGTCCCAGCTACTCGGGAGGCTCAGGCACGAGAATTGCTTGAACCCGAGAGGTGGAGGTTGCAGTGAGCTGAGATCACGCCATTCCACTCCAGCCTGGGTGACAGAGTGAAACTCCATCTCAAAAAAGAAGGTCAAACCATCTAGCTAGACCCAGGTAAGCAACTTGATATAGTGATGAGAAAGCTAAACAAATCACTAGTAACTCAAGTTAATGCACGTTCTTCCCCTCACTGCAACATGCTATATGGTCAAAGAGTCTCAGATTAATGGTCCTGGTTTCCCCAACTTAGGACAGATCCAGCAAAAAGACCTACTATAAAAATGTCAGAACAAATCACTTAGTTTTACAAATGAGAACAGGATTGAACAATTACTTTTATTAAGGTAAATACAATTTTAGTTTTCATTGTATACCTCATGCATGAACCACAATGATATATAGCATTAAAAGAGAACAGAACATGGCTTTTATAAAAATAACTGCCAGCTGGGCGTGGTGGTTCATGCCTATAATCCAGCACTTTGGGAGGCCAAGGCAGGTGGATTGCTTGAGTCCAGGAGTTCCACATCATCCTGGACAACACAGTAAAACCCCCTCTACAAAAAATCAGCTGGGCATGGTGATGCACACTTGTGGTCCCAGCTATTCGGGAGGCTGAGGTGAGAGGACTGCTTGAGTTGGGGAGGCAGAGGTTGTGCTGAGCTGAGACTGTGCTTCTGCACTCCAGGTTGGGTGACAGAGTAAGTCCCTGTCTCAAAAACAAAGAAAAAGGAACTGCCTTTGGAGTTGGGTAAAGAAACATGTGAGAAACTACTTCGATGTGATTATTACATTTAGAAGGTAAATGAACCTAGTTCTTGCCTGACCTTAGTTATAGGCCTAGGACAGTTGTCTAGGGCAATTTCTGCAAGAAATTGCACCTTTATTTAGGTATGAAGCCAGAATGAGATGCCAGTATTATATATTATAAGAAGACTGAACTAAGGATCCTTAGAATATTTTCAAAGCAGCTCAGACTCCAGGTAACACAGAAAGAAAGGTAAAGGGAGACTCCTGGTGAATACTACTCACTGATCTTCTGTTCCAAAAAATTTCACAAAGAAGCATTTCTTTCCACGAGGTTTCTTCAAGTCCTTTGGTGGATTAACAATCTGGAGGATAAAAGGGGGAAAAAGGTTGGCTGGCAACGCGCAGCCCACTCTCTAGTGGCTCCACATTGCTCTACACAGCTCTATGTTGGGAAGAAAAAAGTAAATTAAATCGACTTACAAATAAATGTATTTATATACAAAACAGAACCCAAGGCTTAGTACTTGTCTAAATCTCCCATTTTTCTAGAGATTTGTGGAAATGTGTAGATATTCTACAGGTTCCCAATATTTAACATGTAGCACAGTGCTCAGCAGACACAATATCCCTTTCACTGTAGAGGCCCTGTTTTACAAGCAGTTAAAACTAAGATCAACAACATCTCCTGCCCCCCACCAACCTGCCCCGCCCCAATGTGACCCCATCATTACTGAAAAAAAGCAGAGGACACTCTTTGAAATACTTCCTGTGCAGGAAGAGTTGAGACAGGACATAGTGAAAACAAAGGACAACTGAGGCATAGAAAACACCATATTGCAAAGAGACCATCTAAAGACACTTCCTGGGCTCCAAGCAAGAATATAAAAACACAACATTTGGAAAGCAATGATGGATCACCTCATGCAAAATCTGGAATGCCAACTTCTGCAAAGAGGCACTGGAGTAGCACATATGGTAACATGGAAAGAAGATTTAAACTTAGTTGGGACAAAAATACTTTGGCTTTTCACTAACCTACATTTAGACTTCTCTTCCTGGATAATTTATATTTTCTTCTCCTTTTGTTACATTTAAGCATAAAGCTAAATTCAGATTAGAATTATTTCCGGGGTTAAAAAAGAAACTTCATAAACCTCCTCTAAATCAAGAAATAAGCGTTTACAGCAGATTTAATGATCTGGAATATACTGCATTGCCTTTTAAAAAATAACTGATACTAGGAGAAAAAAAATTCTAAGTGCCATCTGAATGGGCCCAGTTTAACTCAATACTAGAAACTGAGAGGAATGCATCTTACATTCTCCACCTCCTCAAACCCAACTTCAGATATCTTCCTTTAGTAGCAAGACACTCACCTTTCCTGGCCAAGGAGGATACCGGCCGAGTTTCCCCCTAGAGAAAACACACAGAGTTAACACTCGACCTGGAAAAGTCAGCCTATCTCCTTCAAACCACTCAGTACGCAATTTATTTTCCTAAATCTCTGCTGGCATCCTCAAGTGCCGGAACAAAAGCTTCCACAGCTGGGCCCAAGACCCTCAGAAGCAAAATGCAAAATTGTATACTTATGTGCACAACGTGTAACCATTCTTCTGTTGACAAGGAATACAAAACAACACAACTGTCAAAAGTCACTTGTCTGGAGCTTCTTAATGACGGGGGTGGGAGGACAGCTTCCTCTGTAAACACAGACTTTCCCTCCCTAAGTCTGGTTTAATTCAACAGGAGACCTGCCTGGCTTTGACAAATGCTAATGGAAGCCTTCCTCTGGGTGGAGAAACAAGCTATGCAGCTCGAGGGAGGCGGCGACAATCAGCCTTGGTTCGGGCGGTTGTCTGGGACAGAGAAGCAGAACGCGGGAGGCACCCAAGCCTGCACTGGTCACTGCCAAGCCATTGGTTGTAAAGAACTACCCCTCCGTTTCTTCGCGGGGCAACGCCAGAAGTCCGGTTTAGACAATCCCAGCTGAGCCGCCCGCAGAGGTCGGCTGCATCGCAACCTGGGCTTTTACCGAATGGCACCGGCGAGATGGACTCGTAGGTCCGGTCCCCGGCGCTTCTGCTTTCTGGGAAGCCCCAGCAAGACCCCGGGAACCTGTCGTCCAAGGAAGCCTCGCGGCACTGGCGGG